TACCCTGGCGGAGGTGTAGATTTAGATGTTAACCGCGTCTCTTCTCCACCTCACCTTGAGACTGAAGTCCAATTATAAGCTTATTTCTGTGGTAGATCATAACTGCAACCCACCACTTTCTGTTTATGATATACAGAAAGACGATATGCCTAATGCATCACAACGTGTAGATAACCGGCAACCAGTTTAATACTTGGTGAGCTGTCTGTTGGTTCTCGCTAGAACTACTCTTCTCCTCCTTAGCTTTTCGTCGTAAGAGGTCCAAGTTGAATCAAAGAGCAATGGGGCCACTCCTAGACGTTTGCCATTGTTTGACTACATATTCTAGACCGATAAACAAATTGTTACGCAACCTTCAATGTGTACTGTGGCTGTCTGTGAAATTGAGGTTTAGTGTGTTGCGTACATTGCGATGCAATTGTGTTGTCGAGATGGTATGCCACCGATGGCAGATATGATGCCACTCGGTAGTGCCACGAAGCATTCGTGACCACGCATTCAAGCGAGCATATCGGCGAGGACGGCTGATTGGCAAGGGAACCACCCAACGATAACGGGGCGGAGACAGTCGGGACACGGACCCAGGCCCCCGTTTTCGTATACCAGCGCTCCGAAGCAGCCCCGGAAAGCTCCAGATCAATCCAGGCACACGAGTCATGTCTGGGGGAGCGTTCATGCTTCATGCATTAGAATCGTCCGGAGCCCCAAGCTTGCTCCAGCAATTATGACGCTGGAATGGGGTTGGGAGGCGTTCGCTAAACTTGAAAAACGCGCACTGGAGAGCACACACCAATCATGCATCAGTAAAGGATGCCCACAGGTTCTCACCGTCTCAACCTGCACGGCTTCAATTCGGCCACTGAGGGTCCTCGCCATCATCTGACCCTTAATATTATCGTCTAGTGCAGAATACAGATGATTTGGACCGTTGGAAAGTAACAAGCTTGGCATTCAGACTAAACAGAGCCGCGTTTCTTCATCAACGGCGGTCATAGTGATGCTTGCGATACCAAGACGGCAGTGAGAATCGCTGATTGGATGCAAAATCCCCGGGAATTTGCTTGTGCAACTGCAACATCTACGGCTACAAGTCAATGGCTTTCGTAGATGAATGTAGGATGCATGCCGATCTATCCCGTCCCTACTTCAACGGCTTGAGTCGTATCAGTGTGTAAGAAAACACCAACCAATCCATCGATCCTACGATGCAATGCAAGTCAAGGGCCAGTCAGATGCTATTCGCCGCCCCCTCACAAAAGAGCGCATCGATAACATGGAGTCGACATGATCTTGATTGAATCTGGAGAGATCGGGGTCTCCGGTGGGGAGAGAAGAGGGTTCGAGGAGGGGATCTTCTCTGATATTATCGCTGCTTCTTCGGTCGAATCTGCCACTAGCGGCTCCACCCCTCATGCCGCATCGCGAGAGATTCCCCGGCACGAAGCGCGTGACGATGCTCTCGGCAATCCACTATGACATGGTTGCGAGGTTTGCTATGCAGTAGTGAGGCATGGTGTCGGCACTTGGGCAGCCAGCCTGCGGCAAGTACCGACAGTCGTCGAACCAAGCCTTGCCAAGTACGGGCAGTACAAGAGGTACCTGACTATGGTGTGTAACTATTTTACTGCCCTGTCTATCCTCTTAGCAATTGAGGGCTTCTTATATTAATCTGACGAACTCCGATCTCTTTGATATAATTAAAGTGGATTCCTCTTCTCACCATTGCTGCTTCTAGCACAGCTCTTTACTTATGCATTGCGCTTAGACACTCGGACAACCGCATTTTGAAAGCTGCAAAAGGCAACAACACAACGACATGGCTGACAGCAGCACAGCACCCATCGCGCCAGCTGCGCCCGCGAGGTCCAAGATGGACGCAGCGCAGCTGGAACATCCAGTCAAGGCCGCCAACATCCCAGCGATGGACGAGAACAATGCCTTCGCAGTTGCTCAAGCCGGCGGCTGGGAAATCGACGCGCTCATCAACGAGATGGAGTCGGAAGTTGAAGCATCGGGCGGCATGCGCAAGAGCTTCTTCGATCTCGAGTTCAAGAACCCGAAGCACTTTACCTGGGTTATCGTCGCTTTCGCATCCATGGGTGGTCTCCTTTCCGGTCTCGACCAGTCGCTCATCTCCGGTGCCAACCTCTACCTCCCGAAAGATCTCGGCCTCACTACGAGGCAGAACAGTCTGGTGAACTCAGCCATGCCTCTCGGTGCCGTTGGTGGTGCCCTTATTCTGTCGCCTTCCAATGAGTACTTTGGTAGACGCTGGTCGATTATCATTTCCACGATTCTATATACCATTGGCGCCGCACTGGAAGCTGGATCCATTAATTACGGTAACATCCCCCGTCTTGTTTTATTCACCCAATTCGTCTAACAAGTAAACAGGCATGATTGTTGCTGCGCGAGTCATCCTTGGTCTTGGTGTCGGTCTGGAGGGTGGTACTGTACCCGTCTACGTCGCCGAGACTGTTGACCGCAAAGTCCGTGGTAACCTTGTATCGCTGTACCAATTCAACATCGCTCTTGGAGAAGTCCTTGGATATGCCGTAGCCGCCATGTTCCTGCGCGTAGAAGGCAACTGGCGCTACATTCTCGGTTCTTCACTTGTCTTCTCCACCATCATGTTCGCCGGCATGCTCTTCCTGCCCGAGTCTCCCCGTTTCCTCATGCACAAGGGCCGGGTCCTGGATGCGTACAAGGTCTGGAAGCGCATCCGCGGCACTGAGACCCGCGACGCCAAGGAGGAATTCTTCATCATGAAGGTCTCCGTCCTGCACGAGCAGCAGGTCGTCTCGGAGAGCGCGGTCAACAGACACTTCCCCTGGCTCGACTTCTTCACGGTCCCACGAGCCCGACGAGCTCTCATCTACGCCAACATGATGATTCTACTGGGCCAGCTCACAGGAGTAAACGCCATCATGTAAGAGAACCCATCCCACTCCAACCATTCAAGTCCATGACCGCTGACATCTGACCTCTGGCAGGTACTACATGAGCGTCCTCATGCATCAGATCGGATTCGACGACGAAAAGGCGAACTACATGTCTCTCGTCGGAGGCGGCTCCCTGCTGATCGGCACTATCCCCGCCATCTTCCTCATGGAGAGATTCGGCCGTCGCTTCTGGGCCAACACGATGTTGCCAGGCTTCTTTATCGGGCTCGTGATCATCGGTGTCAGCTACCAGATCGATCCTATCACCAACCTCCAGGGCGCCGAGGCCTGCTATCTTATTGGTCTGATCTTGTACATGGGTTTCTTCGGTTGCTACGCCTGTCTGACATGGGTAGTTCCCTCTGTAAGTGCTAAATCGAAAGCTTTACAAAGCTATGGTCTTTGCTAACAGTAAACAGGAGGTCTACCCCACCTATCTTCGTTCCTACGGCATGACGACTTCCGACGCGCTGCTGTTCCTGGCTTCGTTCGTAGTCACCTACAACTTCTCCGCTATGCAAGAGGCTATGACGCCCACAGGTCTGGCGCTCGGTTTCTACGGTGGTATTGCGGTTCTGGGCTGGTTCTACCAACTGTTCTTCATGCCCGAGACCAAGGACAAGACGCTGGAGGAGATTGATCTCATCTTCCAGCGCCCGACCAGAGACATCGTGGCCGAGAATGTGAAGAACGCGGTTCAAAGCACAGGTCACTTCTTCCGGGGACGATGGAGCTCCAAGTCTAGAGCGACTGCAACTGGTTTGGCCGAGAGTGAGAAGGGTAAGGAGAAGGCTGACTTGGAGTAACATGTCTGAAGCGCTTCTGACGCATCTGGCTTGATTGGCTTTTGTATACAGTTGTGTGGTACATGACAGTTAAGCTACAGCTATTGTGCAAATAACTATCTTCTATTCAGTCTCTTTGAAGAGCAACTCCTATGCCGTGATGCTCCCTTGTATTGAGCTTGGATAACTCTGCCTTGCCCTGCCAAATTAGATAACACTAGGTATGCCCTATGATCATCTGCAATAGACCGATACCAATGTGCAGCGCCTAATAGTGGCAGCAAAGACATGTATACCCCATTCATGCATTGGCCAGTCCCACGAGGCATGGGCGGATCAAAGGATGATTGCTGTTCGCCGAATTGAAAAGCCGTGATACCATCACTCATCCATGCCCGACTCATAATTGCCAATGAAGCTGTCAGTCAAGCTCGGCAACGAGTGATTTGACTCGGACTCGGCGTTCCAATCTGACTGGGGATCATAGTCACTAAATTCGCCCTCAGGTATAGTGACGACAATCGACGACAGCGAGGATGCGGGGCTAGACTGCTCCAGACCTTCAAATGACACCTTCGGCCTGACCGGTAGCTTCATGCACTCCGCGTTCCTAGTTGCAGGTGGCTGCTTCTTTAGCTTCTTTCCCTCTCGTGGCAGCGGCGCCACCGCTGGAGTCTTAATGATAGGCGGCGATCTCTCAGTCGCGGTGGTTTTGTTCCCCTTCTTCTTAATACCTAACAATGCAAGACGTTTCTGACCAAGGGTTGGCGACTTGGGAGCAAGAGGCGTTGGCTGCGACGGTAGCTTCCAAGTACGCAGTGGCGTTTTTGGACGACTACGTCTCTTGCTCAAGGACGCTTTCATTTCTTGACTCCACGAGCGAGCCTGGCTGTCCGGCGACTGTTCGAGTCTGGGCTTAGCCTTCTTCCGCTTCTTCTTTTTGTTGATACTCGGCGGCGGCGGCGTCGTGCCGGGGCCCATTGGAAAGGGGCTTTGATAGCCATTTGGAAGGATAGGAATTGCTGGTGTACGACATTCCGCATCCGTCTCGAGTGATTTGTGCGTAGGTCTATTGTTGTCCAGTGATTCATCGAGCTGTGTCCTGGTCGCCGATCGCTCCTTTATGTCGACCTTCGAGGATAGAATATCAATATTCACCTCAGGGATATACGGCAATGCATCCGCCTCCGTGATTGAATGTTCTTGGTCAAGCTTTGGCCTCTTGCTAGGTGTAGGTATAAGAGCCCCTTCACATAAGTCTAATGGTCGATCCGGAGAAGCAATGAGTGACGTTGACATGTCCGACTGGAACTTAGCCCTCTTGCGCTTCCTCCGTCTATTCTTCTTGTCCTTGGATGTCTGTGGCGTTGCATCAGACTCGGTAGCGGGCGGTTTATCATCAATGGCTGGCTCTTGAGTAGCTGTTGAAGACCCGGGCTCTAGACCTGTGTCCGAAGACAGGCCCAAGGATATAATGGCTGCCGGTGATTCACCGAGTTGCCCCCCAGATCTTCTAGAACCCGTCTTATTGACACTTGCCGCCAATGGGTCGGTTTCTTTGGCTGCGAATGAACTGGCGAACCAGATTCGCTTAGAAGCTTTCTTCCTTGGAGTCCTGATATCCTTCAACGTCCACTGATCAAGAGTGCTCTGGATGTTGGGTGACAAAGTAGCTTCCCGATTGCCCGTAACGGGCTCAACTGTCTTGCCACGTCGAAGTTTTCCTCTAGACTTCTTTGCCGAGTACGTCTTGAGAGAATTCGATTTCTTGCTGGACGATATGGCTTCAGCCCTGGAAAACTAGTCCAGGGTGTCGGCAGCAGGAGACGATTCATCAGACTCGTCAGCAATGATTTCTTCATCTCCACCCAGCATCGGTTCTTCAGAGGCCGTCACCAAGCTGAGATCAACACTCGGGGTGCTCCCATCCTGCTCGGATGCAACGTCATCCCTCTCATGATCTGCATCAACGTCGCTGAGCTCGTCTTGCTTTCGCCCGTTTTCTGTGTTTTCCTCGTCATCGTCCTGTTCGGAATCGGAACTGTCGATGGCGACCGCAGAGCTGACAACACGCGCCTGTCGACGTTTAGGAGTTGCGGCAGGAGTGTTCCAAAGACCACCAATTATCCTGGCCTCCTCGGTCTCATTGGCTTCGTCGTCGGGCAAGATGTCAAGCTTGTCACCCTTCATGTGCTTTTCTACAAGGTAATGTGCGATCTCCGGTACTGTTAGTGTCTCGTAGTCAGGAACACTCTTTGACAGTCTGCTCCACAACAGCTGAAGCGTGGGTCGCTTCCACTTTCTGCGGAACTTGGGATCGACTAGTTTAGCCCACGGGATGTCTTTCGATTTCTTTGCGCCAGATGTCTCAACTGCTCGCACAAACGCAGCAATGTCGTCCTGCTTCATCAGGTGAAGAGTCTTACGATCCAGGTCCAACTGCGCCTTATGGCTCGGCGGTCGCGGCGTTTCGTCGCCAAGCGTGACAAGACCTTTCTCCCGCATGCTGTTCCACTTTGTGCGACACTGCTTTTCGTTCCTGGTGTAGCCCATGCGAACACTGACCTGCTCCCAATTAATAAGGTTTTCGTCGTCGGCTCCCGCTATCATTCGCGAGGGAGTATTTTGGGGATCCGCGTCACGATCCTTCCGCTTCTCTTCTAACATTGAGGTGACAATGGAAAGGTATTGCTCTTCCTCTTCCGGAGTCCACTTCCCCTTCTTTTGCTTGCCCAGACAGCGGTATACAGTCAGATAGTAATGTCGGACATCCATACGGTCACGGTTGACTATGCTCCCGATGTGCTTGAAGTCACGGCCGTATTTCTCAAAAAGATCATGTAGTTGATTCTTTTGCTCCTCAGACCATTCACCACGGTCTTTGTTGTGGAAGAGGCGGCGGCAACATGACATGAGACTCTTGCGATCTCGGCCGGGACAAACATCCTCGGCTCGTTGCCAGAAATCTTTCTTCATCTTCTTTGCATCTCGTCCGCTCTCCTGGGTGGGGTTCTCCTGAACGAGATCATTCGCGGCGGACTCGGTCAGGCCGTATGTGGCCATGAAATCCTTGAAGACCTCCTTTAAGGCCGTTTCCTCTTGCGTTGAGCGGGAGCCTTCTGTAGTAACAGGTTTCTTTTCCTTTGTCTTGCGCCTTCTCCGGGTGGACTTTTCCTTGGGTGCCATCTCCCGTTCGCTGGTGCCTCCTCTCATCCTCTCTCGGAGTTTCTTCTTCTTAGCGGTGGATGACGCCTTCGTGGAAGGTGCCTTACGTTCAGGGGCACGAGTCGGGGCACGAGCTTCGGGGGACGGCCGGCTGGAGTTTTGACCATCCTGTGCGGGATCAACAGCATTTTGGGTCCATGGCCTCTTTGGTGCTCGCTGCCTAGAATGCCCAATTCTTTCACGCTTGATATCTTGGACTTCTCCATCATCCGAATGATTGTAAGTCTCATCCTCCGCCTGTTCAGGTTGTTCTTCAACCGATGGCACTTTCTCCTCTGCGTCATCGAAATGGGGTGCGGTCTCTGACATTTCAGGATCATGGCCAGCCTCGGTACTCTCCATGGCCACATCACCATTTGTTGATAGTTCATTCTCGTACGAGGCGTAGCCATCCACATCAGGCTCGAGCTGCTGTTGCGAGCTAAAGATCTGCGCGTTGAGGAGCTCCTGTTCGTCCATGTCGTCGTCATCATGGTCCTGTGAGGTTGAACCTGCACCTTCCTCGGAATCAATAAGGAGTTCTGGAGAGACGTGTGGTGACAAAGACTCGACCCCAATATCTTGGCCATCATCTGCACCCGCATCAGCCATCCCAACAGGGAGCATGTCAGCCTCGTCCGGTGAGTGCATTCTTCGTTTCTTGGCCATCTGAACATCGCCAAGCTCATCAGACGATTCCTTCCTCTTCTTAGCATGCCACTCGGATGATGCAACTGGTGCTGAGTCCACTTGCTCCTCAGAAGGCTCTCTCGAAACAGACTTGGCCCTTTTCCTTCGAGATCTCTTTCCCTTCTTTGGCGACGCATCCACTGACTGAACTGCTTCTAATAATTCGATCTGTGATGATAAGAGATTCGGGATGATCTGTGGTGACTGTTCCAGAGGCTCGAGTGGCCGTGGCTCCGGAGAGGGTGTCGCTGGAAGTTCGGGTTCGGCAGGTGAAGGTTGGATCAAGTCGCTGGTTTGAGGTTCAGCTTGTGATGATTCGGCATGATGAGACTTCTTTCTCTTCCTCTTCTTCTTTGGCGGATCCTCCAAGGGCGCCTCTGGCTCCGGCTGCACTTGCGACGACGAGTGATGCTTAGACTTCTTTTTCTTCCTTGAAGAAGTATGGCCAGGCTCGTCTAAAGCCAGCTCATTCTGCGATGACGGTTGGTCCTCGAGCCTTCTCTTCTTCTTCTTTTTCTTAGTGTGCGAACCATCCGGATCCTCGACAGTCGCACCTTCCTCGTCATTCCAGCCCTCTAGCTCCTGCCGCGGAGTAACCGGCGGCAACTGCTCCCGCTCCTTCCTCCTCTTCTTCTTCTTTCGATGCGGCGTCGCCTCACCCTTCTCCTTCTTCTCGAGATCCGTGTCCTGCTCGCCCACGAGCGTCGGGGCCTGCGAGGACCTACCTCCGCCCTGGCCGTCGGCGGTGCTGGCGCTGGGGGGCGGCATGGCGGCGGCGGCGTCGCTGCGCTTCTTGGGTGTCTTGACGCGTATCATCTTGTAGAGGCGAGGGCGGACGGGCCACAGGGCGGACATCTCCATCATGGACTTTGAGTAGATGGGCTGGGACCTGTCCTCGACGTACGAGTACTCGTAGTCGTCGTCGTTGTCACTCGTGCTGCCGCCCGCGCGGACCGGAGCGGGCGTGCTCTGGCCGGGCGCCATTGGGGACGCCGAGGGGGATGTCTTGTCGCCAGCGATGGACACTTAATAGGAGAGCGCACTCCGAAGGACAGGAGAAATGTTCAGAGGAGGCTAAATGGCGGCTGTAGGGACGAGTGTTGATTGTTGACACGGGCCTAATGACCTCTGGCAGACGACGGACGGCGAGCGTTCAGATGACGATAGGAGGAGGCTGAGAAGAGGACGATGATATGGCAAGGCTGACTGATCTTGCCGGACACTCGTCAAAGATGCCGCTAATCGTCTGCTGTGGAGCTTGAACGGGACGCGCGCGTGAGGACGACGCGGTTTGGGGTGTTATTTAGATCGATGAAGCTCGAGCTCCAAGGCGGTGATAGCAGTTTTTATTGTTTGTCTGCTTGCCGTTGGTTGAAATTTTTGGGGAGGCGCAGGGGTAGCGCGGGAGCTTCTTTTGCGGGGTCCGCTAGCTCAAGTAAGTGCTGCTAAAACAACCAGCAGTGCTGGTGAGTAAATAACAAACAAGGTAGGTACTCAGGCTAGGCCACATGTCAAGTCGTCAATAAATGCAGTTGATCTGGTAACGAGTTGATGGATGTTTTTATCTCATCTCCATCATAGAAAAGACGTTTCAAGCAGTGAAGACGTCTCAATAATCTTGTTTGCAAACGTGGAAACGTCGACAATTACCAGGGCTCCATTCGCTACGTGTAGACCAGGACAGGTAATCACGCCTCTCAGCTCTCAGGATGCTGTCGATCGAATCCTTCTGCCTTGGCTTCGCCTCAAGGCTGACCTTCATCTCACTTCTACTCCATCCATACATTTATATAGGCAGGCATTCCTGAGTCTTGTCTCTTCATTGAGCATCGAGAAGGAGGCAGCCTTGACCAGACCATCAATCGGGTTTCGAAATGACTGATTACGATAAGTTCACCTCGAAGTCGCATTGCTTTTTGGATGTCTGGGATCTCCCACTCAGGGAAAATATCAACTCCGGCGGCCTCCCCAGGGCTATCGCAGAGATCCGAAAGCCAGAGACCACGCAAGCAAAACTGAGGTCGCTCGAGCCACAAGGCGAACACAGTATTCGTGTGTTCATTGAAGAATGCTGTGATAGTAAAGAGGGGACTCAGGAGACCAAAGGTCGCTACAACCCACCGTCTAACCTCCTGAGTCAAAATGGATTCAAGTCTCTCATATCTCAACTTAGATGCGATGCATCCCAATGGTATCAGCTAGACGGGTATGACTTTGCCCTCGATGCAAAGGGATTTGTCTCGGACTCGTTGGCCCGAAGGAAGCTACCACTCCGTCTATCCATGGCCGTCCAAGCAGGAATAGATAAGCTCAAATCGAGCATGGAACAGTACAGAGACACATGGGCAAGGACATCGAGAAGTTACATCACCATTCGTCAAGGGGATGACCAGGGCGCTGGTATGTTTTCTGTTACACTCCGTGAATACCGGCGTTGTATCTGCCTCAAGCTAACTCTGAACAGTGTATATCAAATGTACTACTGGTCTCGAAAGCTACAAGGTGATAGACCAATTAAGAAAAAGATCGGACGGCCAATCCCCATTCGAAAGCACAGAGAAGTTCACGAAAGAATTTCTGCAGCTCACTAAGACTTATATGCCCATGATGACCAATGAGCACTGGCCAAATATGATCACTCTTCAATACTATCATGCCAGTTTGAATGTATTCGTGGACTTTCTCCAACAGATCACAAAAGACTACACAGAACTCCGAGCAGAACAATTCGATCCTCGAACTTCCCGATTGCAGAATTGGCTGGTCGTTGAAATCAAAGAAGATGCTTATTACTACCGGCAATTTCAGAAGGTCGGAGACGAGATGACCACAACCCTACAGTCGTTGGTAGGAGTTATTGACGTCACTGTTGACCAGCAACTATTACAAACCGAGTATGCAACTCTGAAGGCTGAGCTCCAGGGAAGCTGCAGCGACATGAGACTGTGTCTGACAAGGTTCTCGGAAGACTTGGAACACAGCTTGAAGCTACTCGACTTGTCACGGAACTTCAGACAGAACAACAGTGTGCAGCGACTTACAGTACTTGCCACCTTTTTCCTCCCCATGTCGCTTGCGACGGGAATTCTAAGCATGGGTACGAGATTCAAGGACTTGGGCCCTCTGTTGTACGACTTCTTTGGGGTCCTTGTCCTTGTCATCACCTTTGTCGTGCTGTACCTGTCCGGCTTGTTTCTTTTGGAGAATAAGTTTAGGTATTTGCGACTGCCGGCCCTGTTCTTAACTTTTGTGGTGGTTGTAGGGTATGGGCCACTTGTTCTCTCGTCTTTCCTTGTAGGCATGTTCGATGATGTCGTTCTTGGAGCAAAGATTTTGGGTTTTGGGACTGCGGCAAGTATTGTGGCGATTCCCATAATAGCAATCGTGACACTAGGAGTATTCATTGCAATCGGATATGTCAGAGCAACAAGAAAACAGAAGCAGAAACGAAACCAGGAACAGACTGGCTTACCGGAGTTCCAAGAATCGGCCTTCCTAGATGGGGCCATGCGGGCAGCGTTTGGGGATCGAACACCGGAGTAATCATAGCGTTTGTAAGATTTAGTATTTAGACTTGAATTACGATCAAGAGGGTCAACAGGTCAAAAATCGCGACACGTGCTCATATTAGATTGGCAATCATCAAAAGAAACTTCAATCTTTCAAGGCTTCAAGGTCATGAGTCTTCTACAGCTATATTCATACTATTGAGAATATCATGCCCAGAACCATCAACACCTACACCCAAGACAGGAAAGGGCTAATGTCATGAAATGTTCCCTTTCTTCCGTTATCTGCTCGTATAGTGACTGTATGACCATCAATCATATCAAGTGAGCAAATGGCCAGCATTGTATGCCACAAGTTTAAAACCTTGTTACATTTCACTGAGATGGATGCTCGTGGCAGTCGTCTGGTCTCGTAATTCCCGTCAATTTCTTTAACATGAGACCGTCCGCCGAGTGGCTAGTGGCCACTAGTTCGTTGAGATGTGGTGGCATTGGAAGATCTACAGCATCAGGATGCTTGACGATCTTCGCCCACTTGGCTGGTTCGTCCTTCAACTCTACTTCCTCCTGCCATCTAACCAGTGCATCGAAGTCTCGGCATACCTTGTGCGCACCAATGTCCGGGAATGGGTTATGCTGCGTGAGACGCCAGTTATATGTCAGCATCTCTACATCTGCGTTGCACATGATGTTCTGTCTTAGGATGTCTATGCAGTGATCGACATGAGACTCGAACATGACGGGCGGCTCATAGCCCCATGTCTTTCCCCAGTAGTAGTCGTAATGCAGGATGTTGGTCTTGCGCAACGAGTTAAGGCAGTGCAATTGATGGAAAACATCAATTTCGGCCATATAGGTGTCTGGGCCGTACCCCCAGTCTAGCTGCGTCTTTGCACACTCCGTTGCGTTCTTGCCGATTCCTTCGACCTCATGCCTTGTGAGAGAATGCATCCCAATATCTAGACAGAAGGTAAACGGTTAGAATTGAGTGTGATATGGAAGGGGTGAGACCTACGAGCGATGCGTTCCCATGCCGCGTCAACCTCGGGACTAGGTGGCATTCGATAGATGTGGTTCGGGTTGGCTGGGTCGGGAAATAGAGTTGCGTCAATCTTTTTCTTCACAAGAGGGATGTGAAGTTTATCCAGCACAGGCGCTTTGATAAGGTCAGCGAGCTATTCCAACACACAGTAGATGTCAGAGATGACTTACAATAGGCAGATGTTTTCTTGAGCAAGATATTTCCCCGATTCTGGACCGCAAGTGTCCCAAGCACAGCAGCGAAGATACTCAGTCCATAGAGCAGCAACAGGACGACAATACCTGTGATGTTACCAGTGACGAAAGGTCGCCGTGAATGGCGTTCCCGACCAAGACCGTATGGGATCTCAGAGTCCTCGCTTTCTGCGTTCTCACTCTTGTCATCGCTATTGCGAGCTACAAGATTCTCCTTGTCCTCGTCGTCGACATACGAGTATTTGATCTTTTTGGTGATCTGCCTCGTCGCCCACATCGTGAAAATAATGTTCTTCTGGCAACTGAATCAAAGAGTGCGCTTGATTGTGAAGATAATCCTAATAGTCCTCGGAAATTCTACAGAGGAACGTGAGGAACAGTCGTGATGAGATGAAAATGGGTGATATCAGGTTGAGAGGGAAAGCAACTAGTGATATGAAGTACCACCCATGCCAGAGCCTTGGAAACATATCAAAGCTAATTCAAAAGCATTTTTCCATCTTACCTCCAATTCATTCCCGGTGTGACGTATCTTTTAGGCTCTCCAGTAAGAACGCCTAACCGTCGGCAGAGATCCCTCCAAGGCGCCTCTCTTGCTTCAGATTTGAAGCGGGAAGGATTGACGGCATACGAGGACTACGTGATTTGACACGCATGATACATTAATGAAATACAATCTAATTAACGTTGTCAGCTTACGATGAGCACAAATTACATGGTGCGGTGTTTCCTTGCTGAATACAAGGTGTAACGTCAACATGAGTAAGTCCTTGCCTCCACTCCAGACATGTACACAGGAGCTTCATACACGACATAAGCGGCAATATACATTATCATGTTATGACCTTCTGCATTGGGGAAATGGTAGTTGGCTAAGGCATAGCCTACGTTGGTGATCTCATGGCTGGTCGTCTTATAAGTCACAAATCGATTAATATAGTCGGGTTACACCATTTTGGGAAGGATTGCGAGAGAATAGATGGTACAGGATCTACTTTGGTGGGTGATTGCACCCAAGTCTGGGAATGCTTGGGAGTAAATGGCCGGTCGTTGGTCTACATTAATAGAGAACGTTGCTTTATTTATGATCTCTCTGTCTCTCCGAACAGGACAGATGTAAGAATCATTCATCTCTTCTGTCACCAAGCTTTCCCTATAGATTTAACTTTTGCACATTTCGTATCCAGAATGAAGGTTCAACAAGCCCTCGCTCTGCTGGCTTTCCAAGCCATCGGTGGCGTCTTTTCGGCCCCAGTCGCTACTCCAGGTGGTAAAAACGCCCAGAAGCATTTCCCCAATAACTCTCACCAGAACTAACATCAGTATCAGAGGCAGCAGCTCTGGAGAAGAAAGAGGAAGTCGCTGAAGTCTGGGCCAACTGGTAAATGCGACCTTGCTCTTGAATCATATTATTTCTATCTACAAGAACCGCTGACTGGGAAAAAGGAACTGGGCACCTGGCTCAAAGAGCGAGAAGAGGCAGCCCCTTGAGAAAAAAGAAGAAGTTGCTGAGGTGTGGGCTAACTGGTATTACAATTCTACTCGGAACTAGATATCTCTGCTCAGAAGAAGAGCTAATGTTGAAACAGGAACTGGGCACCTGGATCTAAGAGCGAAAAGAGGGAGCCACTCGAGAAGAAGGAAGAGGTTGCCGAAGTGTGGGCTAACTGGTAAATATGACCTTATCCCTAATATACCTGCTATGAAAAAGAGCTGATTTGGAAAAGGAACTGGGCACCTGGATCAAAGAGCGAGCAGAAGCGTGAGGCTGAGTAGTCGTTGGCAACTGCAGGGCTTCTGAGGACCGAGTATTGTAATCCTCCTGTTGCGTAGAAGTGCCAAAGGAGAGATTGTTTCAGAGGTTTCTTTATTCACACTGTTTGATCTGAGCTGCCTGAAAATGAGATGGACTGCACTGAGCCCACAGACTTCACATATGACAAATTAAAATTGAGGTTACTTCTCTAGACTTCGCCCTCTAAATTTCATGTGACCCTACCTAATTTTGTACCTTGAACATGCTCTCTTTTGGTCGAAAAACAGAAGGTGCAAACTAAGCGAAAAGACGGAACGTTGATATGATTTCGCTTTACTCTAAGCAAGTGGTTGTCATGTGGATATGCAAAAGGCTGCCCGTATATGCAAGGTTGGAGTTGCCGCGTCGCGGGGTCTATCAGTAACCGCCAATATCAAACATTGGTCGACTAAATGCCGATCATTGGCTGAAATGAATGAACGGTCAGTGTTGGTTCACATCTGCTGAAAACAAACTATATGATGCACTTCTTCTTAATCTATTCGTGAACCGGTCAGGATATGATGCAATTGGACTTGTTGCAGCGGCTTGTGCCACATGTATGCAGCTTACGTGAACGTTAGGGTAGCGTGTTGGAAGCAGAATGCTTAACAGTAAGCCGGAGTTCCGACTATAGTGCATCCGGCTATTCGTGCCCCAGTGCAGATCTGCCTAATCCTTGCCCCATAGTCTTGAGATCGTTGATCCGAATATTTGTCATGCTAGTCTATTCCTGGACAGCGACCTAGGTAGATACATTGCGCGGGAAAGGTCAGTTCTCTTCATTCTTCGCGTGCCTTTCTTTAGCAACTACAAGCTCTGATTTTCCTTATATTCCTTGTAGCCAACAATGGATAATTCAGAGCTCGAACAGAACCTTCTTTCAGAAAAAGATGATGCTGAAAACTCAGAGAAAGACGACTATGAAGAGGCTTTCTTGACCTGGAATCTGAGAAAATACGGCTATTTATTCCGTCATAGAAATGGATTCAGGGATTTCGTCCATTCTCAAGGGCAGAAACTGCTTGTGGCGTCTTTAGCTTTTGTCAACATCATTCTTCTACTATATATCCTAATTATGCGAAATCACAACGAATGCTACAACCAAACCTCAATTGGTATTACTTTGATTCCCATTCATTTCGCTTTGCAGTTTCTAGCCGGTGCTAATTATGTCTTTGAAGTTGGCCTTGTCCCGAATGCCTTCGAACGAACGATGAGCATTCTCACGCCCTATGCCACGCCGCACGAGAACAACACTGCACGAGACCAGCTATGGGACGACCTAGCAGTTGACCGTGGCGCCGTAGTGGTGGATGAGAAGACTGTTGCTGAGTATGGCTTGCCTGATTCAATGGTCTTCCCATGGGACTCGACCAAGCAAGTTTATATCGTGAATGCGTTTCACCAATTACATTGCCTAGTATATTCTGTATCTGTTCATCGATGATACAAAAAGCTAATTGCGTCCAGAAATTCATTTACCGTACAATGACTTCAGTCCATAATGGAGATCCGTTGCCTGTGAAGCGGTACGAACATGTGGTTCACTGTCTAGACCAGTTGCGTCAGGACGTCCATTGTCAAGCAGATGATGTACGTATTATCTTTCCCTCAGCTCTTAAGTATATTGCGGCTGATTTTCCACAACTAGAATCTTTACTACATTGGGGACATCAATGCAGGACACGTTCGCCAATGCAGAGACTTTTCTAAATTAGATGAATGGGCGCTTGAACATCACGCTTGCTATAGTTTTGAAAAACCGCCTATCGCTGGATTAGATGACATGGAGGCCTTTGCAAATTGCCGTAAAACGTCACCATATTTACAGACAGTGAAGGATTACTTTGGATACGGTGAAGAGTGGCAACCAAAGTATCCTCCTCACGAGGGACCAACTTTCCAAAGTTGGTGAAAATGAGAAACCCAAGATCGCATTGAAAGTAGTTATTCCTCTAGAATGTACCAAGATCTAGAAGTTTACTCGTCATGGAGAGAGTAAGCAGTGGTAGTATCGCTATAGAAGCGCCGAGTTAGTAGCTGGCACTGGCATTTTCATAAAGTGCCGGGCAATATACACCCTCCTAAGTTGTTCTAGACTCCTTACAGCGAAGTCTTCGAAACCTTTGAAAACCCTTTTACGCGCCCTTCGCGCCGTGTATTCTTTGCTCCGCTAACTTCACCCTCGATGCTGCCCTCACCGCCTACTAGACGACCGTCCAGCACTCCCCATGCAGAGTGCAAATTTGTGCTAGGATCCCTATTGTGACTTAAAACAGGCTTTTAGGTATGACCGACGCACTATATTGTTTGGTCGGTAATGCCTCAGATGGATGCACCTTCTCTGCACTACTGTAGTAGCCACTGCCGCTTATATGCCGTCTCATCCACATGCCTTTGCCTGCAGACTGCCGTGCGGCTTACTATGCATGCCCTAGCGACTCTTCTTATTGGCCAGTGCCCTCAAGGAATTTCCGCTTATGGGTGTTGGTCTAGGGGATCCTGCAGGGGATGTAATTAGAGTTAGGCTTTCTCTCCTCGAGGGGCTTTGTTGTTCATTGGCGGCGATGGAGCCCGTTGCTTTTCAGCTGTTGAGGACTAATTGTCATTTACCCGAGGCCGTGTCCTCCCTAAGAAAAGGCGACATGTATAAACATACTTGCATAATACACTAATACGAGCGTTGTACCAGCGCTACCTTCCTGAGAAGGTAGGATCAACTACCGGGCATTGTTAGGCTTTCTGCAAAGCTGATAAAGCAGATCTACTGTGCGGCCGCCTCTCTTACATGCAGGCTGCCGTAGCACCATCGAATCCACATTAACAGAACCTATGGGTCAGTCAATAGCCTTTCATCAAGGATTTTCTATAAGCGGCAATCATGAGAATGAGTAACGTCTTGTAAAGCGTCGCATAGTATCTGCCGGGGACGATGGGGCGAGATCGACTCTTGATTATGACAAAAGCATCGTTTGTGGGTGCGTTCAGGCACTCTTCGATTGATGTCTTGAGTTCTATCCTCAACAGTCGCATCCTATCTACCTGAGCAGGTATCGGCAAGATGCCCACCTTAAGCCCTATCCTGTTTCTCGTCCTCTACCTCTCCTGCGCCCTCGCCTCCCCCAAAACCACCAGCAGCTTTGTCCTCCATGAAAAGCGCACGGCAACTCCTCATTATTGGACAAAACGCTCCCTTGCTCATCCAAGCGAACTTCTTCCAGTCAGGATTGGCTTGACCCAGAGCAACCTGCATTTAGCAGAGCAATACATGCTCGATGTGTCGGATCCTAAATCACCTAATTTTGGTAGTCAATCTCATAGTAGCTTTTTTTTTTCAAGTAGTACAACTCTAATCATTCGAAACCATAGGTAAACATTGGACAGCGGAAAGGGTTGCAAATACATTTGCACCTTCAAGAGAAGCTATTGATGGAGTGGCGGGGTGGCTTGTTGATTTTGGCATCGGTGCGGAAAGACATACTTTCTCTACAGGTCAGTTTGCATCTTGGCCAAAAGAGCGCATATATTGAACGAAATCCGTCTCATTCTAGGAAGGAACTGGATCCTTTTCAACGCAACGGTCTATGAAATTGAGCGCCTGTTCAAAACAAAATATCATTATTACGAGCATGAAGTATCAGGAGATTACCGCATTGCGTGTGACGAGTATCATTTACCAGAGAACGTGAGGCAACATGTTGACTTTGCTGTAAGTTCCGAGTACAGCCCATGTAGAGATGAAAACATCTCGAAACTGATTTCCAGTGAAGATGCCAACTATTCAAATCGAAGGGGTGCGCCCTATCCCGAATATGAACAAGGCCGTCCAGCCTCCTGTACGGGGGCTAACGGGGCTTACAAACTGCTATGAGCTAATCACCATCGAGTGCCTTCGTGAACTCTATCAATTCGGGCCCGGAAACACAAGTGCGTGGCTTTTCGATCTTACTCATATCTGAATCTTCTCGCTTTTTCTCAGAATCGACTGACTCTTTTTGAAAGGAGCACCAGGAAATGAGATCGGAATTGGGCAGTGGGGAGACTACCTTTATCCTCCAGACCTTGCACTTTACTTCACAAATTACACGACGCAGCCTGTCCCTAATTCCACATTTCCGGAGTTTATTTCCATTGATGGCGGTCAGCGCTGGAATGATAATCTCTCCATTGGTGGGGAGTCGGCCCTCGACGTCCAAACGGCATATTCCATTGTCTACCCTCAAGGAGTGCGCCTTTACCAGGTGGGAGACACCAACATCGACTCGACTGGCACTTTCAATACTCTTCTGGATGCATTAGACGGTTCCTACTGCACCTATCTAGGCGGTGATGCTCCTTACCTAGATCCAGTCTATCCTGATCCAGCACCAGGCGGTTATGATGGTCCCCTCCAGTGCGGTGGCGCACCACCTAGCAACGTCCTCTCATTCTCCTACCTCCAAATCGAGGCCGCGCTCCCGGAATCATACCAAACTCGGCAATGCCACGAGTGGATGAAGCTCGGGCTGCAAGGTGTGAGCGTAATCTTTGCGACTGGTGACTCGGGTGTGGCAAACCGCTACAACGTGGGTTTCGAGAACAGTTGCTTAACGCCTCCAGACGTAGGGCCATATGTAGATGTAAATGGAACTCGATTTTCGCCGTCCTTCCCAACAAACTGTCCCTGGGTCACCTCTGGTAAGCCTGGAATCTCTTTCACTCCATCGTCTCCCTCCCACCACGCAAGCTTACAATGTCGCGACTAGTCGGAGGGACTTTCCTCAAGAGCCGCAATATCAGCGACGGTGAAGTTGCAGTGGCTCTCCCCTACGAGCCGAACCCAAAATTGGACTATTATTCTGGCGGTGGTTTCTCCAACGTCTTTGGACAGCCTGCCTACCAAGCTGACGCAGTGTCTCACTATCTGACGGCGTACCCTCCTCCGTACAGCGCAGACATCTACAATAGCAGCGGTCGCGGGTATCCGGACATCTCGGCCATAGGACTCAACGTCTCGGTCGTGCTCTTGGGCGATGTCTATGTCGCGGGTGGCACAAGCGCATCAACGCCTATCATCGCGAGCATCGTCACCTTACTGAATGAAGCGCGTATCGCTGCGGCGAAAGGGCCCATTGGGTTTTTGAATCCGACCCTCTATGCGCACCCAGAAGCGTTTAATGATATCATTGACGGAGGGAACCCGGGCTGTGGAACTGACGGTTTCCAGTGTCAGCCTGGATGGGATCCTGTCACCGGGTTAGGAACTCCTATATATCCGAAGCTCGAGGAGATATTCTTGAATTTGCCTTGAGACTGAATTCCGTAGGCCGCATGTAGAATGTTGATTCATATGAAACAATTACCTCCTTTGCCTCCTATAAAATAGACTTCGACATTAAGAGACGGAGAAGTTGATCGAATCAATTAAGATCTGGATTTCATTTGCTTTTCTTTTTGTTGGGCCAACACAATATTAAGATGGCGCATTTGTAGTGGGGCGTGATCCGTTTGGTCTCAAACCTGGAAGGTGCATGTTGGTTATGTTGGTTCAATAACGTTAACAGAAATTAATTTGCGAGATAAGATCATCATTTTCAAGTACGGCAGATAAATTAAACGGGTTGCGAATATGAGCGTCTCACAGCTGAGTAAGCTGTCGTAGGATACTTAAGCCTTTGTTTTCCTTCCTTACGCATGGATTGGTTCCGACATTGCGCAAAACAATCACCTTCCCCTCAAGGCACTTTACCATGGCGCGTCTCCCCATGAGTGTGAGACCAACTCATTATGACCTGGATCTTAATCTAGACTTGAATGGGTTGACTTTCCAAGGTTCCTCAGTCATCCATCTAGAAGTTTCTCAACAAACTACGTCCATCATCCTGAATTCGAGAGACCTAGAGATCACCAGCACAAAAATATTGCACCCTTCGGGTGAAATCGTCCAGATTCCCACAGTTCAATACGATTCAGACCAGCAGACGATCACTATTGAAATAGATCAACCACTCGCGACCGGCTACAAGGTTCAGGTTGAGCAATCCTTTCAAGGCACAATAAAGCAGAACGGAAGAACTCCCGGCTTCCAATGGACCAGCTACAAAACTATCAACGGAGATATCAAACGGGTGTACTCAACAAGCTGCGAGCCTATAGGAGCCCGCTGTATCTTCCCATGTCTCGACGAACCCGAGTACAAAGCCACTCTTTCCTCTACTGTCACAATCAATGAGGACCTGACATGTGTGAGTAATATGGATATCGCCTCATCGCAACTCGCGACTTCTGGAGCACTTCTTTCCAAGCGCATTGTCTTCAACACAACGCCGTTCATGTCGACTTATCTCATGTGTTTTGTGATTGGCGACTTCGACTTCATCGAGTCAAATCGACTGAAATTCCCCGTGCGGGTCTATGCTGTGCAAGGTGCAAAGATTCAACATGCATCAAACATGCTAGATGTTGCTGTTCAGGCTCTAGATCATTATCAGAACATCTTCGGTCTAGACTATCCCCTGCCCAAAATGGACTTGATTGCGCTGCCCGATGCCGGCGCACTGGAGAATTGGGGGTGCATTGTCTTCGGAGAGCGCTTCATCTTACTCGACACGGAAACCACAGCCACGAAATCCTGGCAGATGGCAGTGGAAACCTTGTGCCACGAGCTCGCTCATCAGTGGTTTGGCAACCTCGTAACGATGGCGTGGTGGGATGATCTCTGGCTCAATGAGGCATTTGCGGAGTGGGCTGGGTTTTACATTGTTGACAAGATGTTTCCCGAATGGCAGTACTGGCTGCACTTTGTTGCTGGAGATCCTGATCCCGAGGCCATGGCATTTTACCAGGGAGCTTTGGATCTCGATTCTACGCGGGCGAGTCATCCGATCTATAACCAGAATGCATCGCCCAATCGTATGCATGAGCTTTTCGACAACATTACATACATGAAAGGTGCTTCTCTCCTTAGGATGCTTTGCCAATATCTGGGGACAGAGACCTTCCTTGATGGCGTTAGTTGCTACCTAAAGCGGCACGCTTTTTCAAATGCTACTACTGGTGATCTCTGGGAATCACTGACTACCAGTAGCGGTAGCGATGTAAAGAGAATTATGCAGGAGTGGACTCAACATGTTGGGCATCCTATCATCTTGGTGTCCGAAGACCATGACTCCAGCACGATCACTCTAGAGCAACACAGATATTTGCAATCGGGCAAAGTCACACTTGAGGAAGACGAGAAGTTGTATCATGTGCCCTTGAATGTAAAGACGAAGGACGCAGGTGACAGCTTCCCTTTGCTGACCTCGCGGAAAGAGATTCATCCAGTAGATCTTGAATTCTACAAGCTCAACGCAGGGCAGATCGGCCTTTATCGAGTCTCCTATCCTCCATCTCGCCTACAGACCTTCGGAAGGCAAGTTTCAACCGGGAGTCTGTCGCCGGAAGATTGCGTGGGCCTAATTTCGGACTCGCATGCCTTGGTCTCATCTCCACTTGACACTCCTATCCAGACCGCCGACCTACTCAATTTTCTGTTAAACTTCCGCGACGAACAAAACTTTCTCGTCTGGCGTCAGATCTTCTTCACCTTTGCCAAAATCAAGCAAGCTTTCCTGTTCTCATCTCCTCAAACCGACTCAGCACTGCAGCGGTTTCACCGGGATCTGATTTTACCCCACTGCTCGAATGAAGCATGGAAAATCACTCCGAGGGATGATGTTCCCATTCAGCTTGCGAAGGCTTTGTTCTTTTCGCAAGCCGCTGGGTACGACTTTGTAAGTGATGCCGCTTCGGAGCTCTTCGATAAATTCATGGCTGGGGACGAGATTGCAGTCAATCCCAACATTCGGAAGTATGTGTTCCAGGCAGTGGCCAAAAGCAAGGACATTGATCGTGTAAGTACAGCCAGTACCTGCTCTGAAAATCACAAGAGCTAAAGCATATTTGCAACTATCTAGTATGAAGCCATCCTAGGGCTGGCACGCCAAACGCAGGATCCGGAAGTGCGTACCGATGCCTTTGTCTCCCTTGGCTATGCAGACAGCCCAGCTCTAATTCAGAAGGCGCTGGGACTAATGACGGAAGAGAACGAGCCGTTCTCTCCACTTGAAAAGTGGTTTCTGTTGAATGCTCTGCAGACGCATCGAGCTGGAGCCGAAGCCTCGTGGACCTGGCTGAAAACCAAATGGGGCCAGTTAGGTAATGTCGGTCTTGTGACCGTTTCACGCTATACTGCTAGTTGCACTGGCAGCCTCTCAACTGCTGCTCAGCTGAACGATGTGCAGGAGTTTACTTCATCTGTCGAGGTGGGTTATGTTGAGAACTTGGGTTCAATAGAAGCAATCTGACCATAAATTAGGGAAAATACAAGACTGCTTTTGAAGAAGCCGTCGAAGGGATCAAAGCTAGAATGAGTTGGGTTCAACGTGATGGCCAAGGTGTGGAAGCCTGGCTGGAGGAGCACGGGTTTTGTCAGTAAAGGGAGCATGTCGTACGCTGTTTCCATCATTGGCAAAGTACGTATGTTGATTAGCTATCTGATCTGGCGATCGACTCTTTTCTTTTATTGCAGCCTAAGCTATGTATTGGTCCCTCAAGCATGTCTGTTCATTATATGCAACTAGCGAAGTCTATGTCCAAGAAGTGAGAAGCTTTGCAACCCGACGATTTTGTCGACGGGCACTATTGATAGACTAAGCATAGGTATAGCAGAGTTTACCAGCGGTGATATCCATAACGTCTCGGATGGTAACATTGGGTGCTAGTCCGGGATAAGACAGCTTGAAGTCGAGGGTGATGTTGTTGTACGGAATATCACCCCAGTAGTTGTACGGGTACGCCCACATGGTGTCAGGTCCGCCAATGTCGGTCTTGCGCTTGGCCCAAGCTAGTGAAGTGTTAGCCAAAGATCCCCAACAGAGGTATAGATCTCAAAGAGATACTCACATAGACGCTGCCACCTATTCCACTCGTAGTCCAACTTGCCGTGATGCATCCAGAAGAGCGGGTCACCTGGAGAAGAGTACATATCAGACAGTTCTCCAACCTCACCACCTACACCAAAATGGCCTCCACCGTGAGTGGTGATGCCAGACAGGTCAGAAGCCATGGAAGCAATCTCAATGTGTTGAGTGTACTCAAAGAAGGTGGTTGCGGCCGTCCCCCAGTTGACCTCAGCCTGAGTCAGCTTCTTGGTGACAAGAGATGGGATGAAATCGCGGCGAAGGCAGTGAGGCGTGTATGTCAAACTGTTGCCCGGACCGAGGCTGACAGTGTGGTTGGCAAAGGGACCGGTGGAGACACAACCGCCACCAGTTCGCGGCGTTAGCGGTCCAGGTGCAAGGGATGTGCTGGGAAGCCCTGAGATATCGGCCAGGTATGGACCATTACCTGTTTTGAACTTAGATTGAGGAATAATTCGGGAGATAAGGTTCAAATAGCATACCTCCAAAGCCATACACGCTGTCAAACACTGGCGACTTGTTCCAAGCAGCCTCACTGACAGCATCCTTGGTCCAGTCTAGTAAACATGTCAGTCATGGTCCTGGAGTCAATATAAACAGATATTTAGCTACCCCAATACGGCTGAGCACCCGTATAGCAGCAAGTGTCTCTCAACTCGGTCTCATAGAGATACACGAACTGACGATGCCACGGCAGGAATTGACCCTGAAAAAGAAGTCAGACCGAAGGCGTTCTGGGGGCCAATCGGCAGAGGCGCTCTTACAACAAAGTGAATCTTTTCCGTCATAGCAATGTGCACGGCCTGGAAGTCATCGTACCGACTCCTTACACCAGGGTAGAGCGAGCCAGTCTTGGCCGGCTTTTGCTGGAGGCATTGGACTGCAGCAATGTAGTCTAGCTGTTCCTTTTTGGACAGCGCTCTCCTGAGACCATGGTCAGCAATGCAACTTCAAGGTGTCTGAGGCGCACGGGCTAAACATACCACTCCTTTCTTACAAGGGTTTTGGAGCAGCTAGAGGTGGCGGCCACACTTTCTGTAGCATCCTCAGGCCTCGGGGCAGCAACGGCTCCTTGGGCTAGCAAGACTGCTGCAGACAGAAACGATAGGAGCTGCATGGCTATTCAGGGATCACGCGTGGCTGTAGAGCTCGTATACCTCCTCGTGGCTTCCAGAAGAGCGGACGGCAGCAGGCTCATATACTCAACAAAGCATAAACAAATCAGTATTACGGTACTGGTAAATGGGTCCCAGGAAATCACAGCGCCACTGTGACAAGGATTTGTAGGAGACATACGAGACCTGCTGCGCCCTAAGAGGAATGAATTCGCCTGAAGTCTTCTCCTGGATCAATAGTGTTTACTGCTGGGTCCAAATAGTTACTCCTCGCCATGCCGTAGAGGGACACACACCCGGCAATAAGTACCATGGCTTCTCTTACTGTAACATGCAATCACGGTAACGAACCTATTAGGATAGAGCCGCTTGAACCACCCCCAGGATCAAATGAGAACTTGGCAGGTACCCCGGTGCACCGCTGCTCTAGACCAGATAACAGTACGCAAGCGCGATAGCATGTGTTGTTACATACGAGGGTATGATGGTCCAGGCTCGGTGAGATGCTGACTTAGTCCGTTCTTCGCAGTCATCTTACGATTCGTCGAAGCCCATTGCTTCTAATCCGGCAGTTCACAACAAGGTCCAGTGTCTTTTCGAATATTTACCAGGCTGAGGGTTTTATCAAGACAAGTGTGACCGGTAGAGTGTTATCAGCTTGCACAAAAGGCGTGAAAATTTTATCACTCTACTTGCTGCATCGGGTGAATACCCCTGATAGCTAGTAAACATGCGTGAAAAGCAGACTTGTTGTGTCTTTCCAGCTATTACCGAAGGGTTTTGACCAGGATACCTCCGCGCTGGCGGCGCCACCCCTCGGGTCCTACCAAGGCAGGCATAGTTGTCTTCTTGGCATGCATTGAACGGATTTCATCACCTGCATCCTAACTCCGGGTTTAATTCTGTCAGTGCCAGCCGCAGCTAGGCGAGGAAGCAGGGTCCCAGAGGTTATTGATCAAGGATTAGCTATGGAATCACCCAGAACGATCATATCGCAGCATATTATAGCGAGCAGTGCAATCGACAACGGGTTCAACCCTTCGATCTGTCCAAAACTTCAACGGTCTTTAGTGAACCGCACGGGCACTCGGGTGTCTGCCTGGTTTACTGTAAAGTAGGGGCGCAGAGATGATAGGAGCCGAACACTTGCAAGGATTCTCTCGTAAGTTGTAGTGACTCTAGCGTAGGATCGATATGTTTTGTCACTAGCGAGCGAATAGCGCGTAGTTAAATGTGCCATTTCTTCATGTTGCTTTGAACCGGACCAATAATATATCTCGCTAGATTAGCGAAGCTCGGGGGTTGCGGCTCAGTACCCCAACCCCCGCTGTAACAGTTTAAGGGGTCCGTAACGGTTCGTTGGTCGAGTGAGCTGGGGTTGTTAATATAGACACAGATCAGATCATGTATTATGGCTCGCTAAGGGCCTAAGACTTTTTTGTCCGGGATCCGGCATGTCGAGTTGCTTGCTTGAACCAAGCTAGAGTAATCCGTCGCCCTCCCCTACCAGCTTGACAGTGTCTGCTGTGCTGAGCATCCCAGTTCGGTCTTTCGCACTCTCAGCTGCAATTTCGGTTTCGTCTTCGTTATAATTCTTCAAACCTGTTCAGTAAATGAGACATCAAAGCACACGACATTTCCGAGGTCTAGCATCTTTTGACACTATTGATGCCATGATGACGGACTTTCCAATTCTATTTTACTCCATTGTTCCCCCAAATCCAGTACACGAGCTCGAGAAGATCCGAGCTTAAGAGAGACTTGAATTTCAAATCCTCTCAAGGGGCTAACAAATACTGCTCCCTTACTGACACATTCTCTGAACCCAATAATGCTTGCGCCTCTCGGTTCCCCTTTAACTTCTCTGAGGTTGTGTCTCAACTTCGCTTGTAGGTGCCACGCCCAAAGCAGTTGAAAGCATCTTCATAATTCTACATGTAATCGGCAGGTTCTAGAAATCCTAGCTATACAACTTCGCCCTTGTATCAACCATATTGAAGCTGCTATATGTCACATCTCTAGAACAAAGCGTAACAGTATATGCAGGAGAGGACAAGGGATTTTTCTTTTTGTGTAGCAATTGCATCGTTAGGTATCTCTTCTGTAGTACTGCTGTTCAATTCAACGGCCATGTTTCCTTTTCCTCCTTCGTAGGTACGCAATGAATATCTTCGGGCCCGACTCTATTCTGCATCTGGTATTCGATCGACAGGTCTTGAATTCCAGAATCTTGGTCATGGCCCCAAATGTGAGCAGATCAGTACAACATCTTACCAAGACTTGCGCTAGAGCTCCTGCAGCTCAGAGATTGTCGATTGGATTTCTTGCCTGCCCGGAGTCGCACTCCAGAAGGCAATAGATGGCCGATCCGGGCGAAAGTTCCGTAGCAGGGTAGGGGTACCCCAACGCAAATGCTACAAGCACTAAGCACCCTCCAAAACAAGTTTGATGCTAGGTCCGAGCGCAAGCAGGCTTCTCTTGTTCGACTGAAGCCGAGACAGCCCTCGAATTAAGCAGCAGCAGCAGCGAGATGTCAGTTCGCGTGGCGTTTTCCCCGTTGAGCGTGCATTACACAGCTTGGCGGCTTGTTTTGGGGGCTTAAGCAGCCATTGACACCTCTCGTCACAAGAATAAAAGCATCACGTATCGTCGTCTTCGAAAATGGTGGGGACTGTCATTCCACCATTCTGTCAATGTCTTTCGGTTCGTGAGTTATAACGTCGATATTGCGTGTTCCGATCCGTTCTTATTTCTGCCGCACTGTTCACCATGGCGACACAATCCTCCAATTATCCCCCTGGAACGAATTTCTGGGAGACACCCGACTGGGCGGGTGGAACACAGGCCAGGCTCAACACTGCGCTGATCGTCATCTCTGGTTGCTTTCTGGCAACACGACTCTATGTACGGTGTTTCATGACCAAATCCGCCGGTTTGGATGATCTCGTCGCATGCCTGGCATTTGGCGTAATCACATCCCAATCAGGATGGAACATTCATCTCAAAGATTGCGGCGCTGGCGCACATATGGAACTGATTCCAGGGCCTCTGATCATGAAGTTCTTCGTGGTAAGTAAAACCGAACATCATGTACTACCTATACACATAGTTGACATGAAATCTGCGATGATAGGGTTTGCAAAATCTGAATCTACTGTATTTCTGGGGTGTCGGTCTTGATCGATTGGCCGTGCTTGCGTTTCTCCCTCGCCTCCACAAGGACCGAGTTTATCTCATTCTTGTTTATACTGTCTCTGGTATGGTTCTTGTTGCTACACTCACAGCCTTTTTCATCAGGCTTCTCATGTGCCGTCCGGTGTCCGATGGCTGGCTACCACCAATGACACCCGGGACACACTGCTTAGCACAAGTGCATCTCGACAGAATGATGAACGCACATGCAATTCTTGGCATAATATTCGACATTATGCTCATGGGTTTGCCTATATGGGTCATCTACAAGAAGATGTTGTGGTCGAGGAAGACATTCCAAGTCATTGCCGTTTTCAGTGTTGGTATTTTCGTTGTTGTCACGGGTATCATTCGCTTGTACTACATCCAGACAATGGACTGGGCCGTTGACTCGTAAGTTGGGCCTGTTGCAAAACATTAACATGACGTTGCATCTCGTGAAGTGCTAACTCTATGTCACAGTACCTTCAAAATGGCAACCATTGGCGTTTGGACGGACCTGGAGTCTCACGTCGGCTTCTGGTGCGGTTGCTTCCCATCGTTGCAGCCCATCATCCGAATCGTTGCCTTCAAGCTCGGCTTACGAAGCGCTCTCAGCAGCTATCCCACGAGAGGACCCAAGAGCGCCAGCAAGGGGGTTACCTCTTCAGCCGGGGCGATGCGTTCGAAGAGCGGTTATCTACGAAACGGCAGCGGGGTCGATGTTGATGCGGATATCAGCGACGGCAATAACAGCCAGGTTGGCATTGTGCCGAGTCCGAATGACTATGAGTTGGGAAAATACGGGGAGATTCGAAAAGAGACAACAGTCACTATACAAGTCAACGAGCAGGATCCGAAACGCAGCAAGAGGGAAGAGAGCTGGGCAGATGTCTAAGAGACAAGAGTTGCAGTGCTCGAGATGCCAGATAAGCTGTTGCGGAGAATATCATCTACCGAGTCCTTCGGGCCTATGTTTGATACGAGCGTTCACAACAATTTCAAGACTTGTTAGATGTCCAAAAATTCTGTCAAATGAATATATATGACGACGCCATAGACAATGCTTCATTTTTGTAGAGTCAATGCAAAGTACCCATTGGAAGCACCCAATCTTGATGAGAATTCCCTACATTGTGTCGGTGAGTGAATAGCCAAAGTAATCGTGTCAAGCCAAATCAGTCGGCTTTCGAAAAAGGTTGGGTGAACACACCTCACAATGCATCTGAAGCTTGGTTGATGCGGTATCGCAGTCGTGGAAAAGGGGTAGCGTGGGGGTGATTCGGATGTTCCTTATATGGATGGGTCCGGACTTCCGTGCCCATCTGCGCCACACAACTTCACCAAGCAAGTCGCTCATTGATCTAGCTACAATCAGCGACCTAGCGAATGTCAAACAAAATGATTGCAGTAGTACGAAGTAATATGATCCATCTTCGTCTGTTCCCGTATTTCGGTATCGATCTACGCCAAAACCGTTCGTGAAGTAACACAAGTTTCTCATTTTTGCACGTGGTGTGTGCATTGCATACGTCTCAAAGGTTACGTCGGTCCTTTGACTCTGAAGATATACAATCAATCTGCTTGTACACTGGAGTCATGTCTTACCGGACAACTCTGGTGAGCTCGGAAATTCGTCTGGTAGTCGGTAAGTAGCAACCCCGTCAAGCCGGGTGTAAGCTCCAAAGCCGGCCCATAGTTTTACTCAAGGAGATAGAAACCCCAGAACAGCTCTTCGAGGCTCTGTTGCTTGGCCTTTGACTCATTTTCTTGTCAACTCATTATAAAATCAATCATCAAGTGAAGATGATACCTTTCTTTGCAGGACGCTTGTCCTAACCCAAGAGCAATCTCCTACGCGGAATGGAAAGAGCAACCTCGATTCGCGTGGGAGATGAAGTCCTTTGCAGCAGTCCTTCGGGTTGATCTTGCTCATGCGGTTTTGCTAGCTGAAGGCATCATTACTCAACAGCAAACCGAATCGCGAGCTGGAGAGATGACGAGAAGATAGGACCTGAAAGCTCTCGATGTAGCCTGGATATGGCAGCATTGTACTTCAGGTCGAGAAGATCTTGTCGGCAAGGTTAGGGGAGCACATTGCTGGCCACTTGCCGAGCACCCGTTGTCGTCTAATCAAGGGACACCCGTGAAGCCGATCAGCGACCGGGAAAATATCAATGCTGTCGTTATGGAGCTCCTCGCTTTGCACGAGGCGTTGCTATGGTGGTAGAAAAACACGCCAATATTCCCATGCTTAGCTACACGCACCTCCAGCAAGCCCAGCCCGCCAACTTTTGTCACTACTTACTGGTTTTCAAAGATCGGCTGCAAAACTCAATCCAGCAGCTCACTGGGGTCTATTCGGGAATCAATCGCAATCCGCTTGGCGCCGTAGGTCTATCGGTTCCGACGTGCCGATCAACCGACATCGCACAGCATCGTTGCTTGGCTTTTCAGACGTCCTCGACAATTCAAAGCTCAGTCGAGATGCGTACTACCAGATCGAAATCGCCTTCTGTCTTGCGAATCTCATGACTATCCTCAGTGATGTTCATACCGATCTACACATCTTCAGCTCAGTCGAGTTCGGCACTGCCAAGCTCGACGACTCGCACTGGAGCACGAGCAGCATCTTCCTTCAGAAAAAGAATCCGTACGCGCTAGAGATGGTCAAGAACAAGGCCGGCGAGACTCATAGCTGGGTTGCTGCCGCAGCAACCTCCATAACGAAGGCACTGGCGACGCCGTTTACATAAAAGTACAGCGGGAGCAACAGGTGTCGAAGTCTGCATCGAAAGCGGCTCTCGTCGTAAATTTCATACATGCTTTGGGTATTTAGTCGGTGAGTCTCTCCCACGACGTTCATGACAGCAGAGGTCTTATCTTGAATAGAACTAACCCAGCCTTCCCCACTCAGGTCTTCTTACACTCCCATACGTCTTCGGCGGCGAGCTTTGGTCAAACTGCATTCGGTCCTTTGGGGCTGCCCTCTCTCAAAGATTCCACTGGCTTTCCAGCTTTGCCATGAGCTACGCCCTTCCATCGCTCCTCGAGAGCACAGATCACTCGGAGCATTTGTTTTCTTCGCCGCATGGTGCTCTGTGGCCTTCTTATACGTCTTCTTTACGGTTCCCGAGATATATTGCTGGTCTCTCCATCGAAGAGATCGACTACCTATTCGACGGGCCTTTGTTTGCTGCCTACGTAGCCGCTAGAAAGCCCAACTCTCAGGCTCCTGAACGGTTGGAGGGCTTGCCGGGAGTTATATTACTTCTGGAGCTCTCTAATTTCCTCAGTCAATTTTTGCTAAGTTCTTATCACTAAAAGGTACAATGGAAGTGATGAGGAGATCACCACATTTGAAAAGCTGTGTCTTGACAAGGTAATAGCTAGAATATTCGTCAAAAAAAAGACCATCATGCTGGCAAACATCTGTAGTTTCAGATGATGATAGACGAAGTCACAGAGTTCACAGAGAAATGACCACCAAGCGTATGTATAGCGAAGCCATTCATAGTATGCGTGCGCAAGATAGGACAAAGATGAATGGATTGACCTAACAATGATATAGTTTGTAAAGCTAACCGGCTCGTTCCCCCGAGCCCACCCGCCGTGCAATACTCGAAAGTCAAATGAGTTTCTAGTTTCTGTTCATTTCAGTGTTCGCCAGTTCCCGCCGAACCCGGTCCTGGCCGCCGTAGTTGTTATAGAATATTTCCGTAGTTTGTTTCATCCCTGAACGCTCCACAAAACTCCATGCCCAAGATTGCCTTCCACCGTTATGAGATGAGATGATAAGAGAAAATGAGTTGTAAGGAAAACGCCGCTTGTAATCAATTCCCGCCAAAAGCCCGTATCTCGGCCGCTATCCGCTTGACGTCGTCAGCTCGTGAAAAGGCGCATGAGATGAAAATGTCGTGATAAACTCATGAATGAGCAAGACGTGAAAAGTGAATATCGTTCGATGTCGTCAAGGCTTCCCACCCTAACCCCGCTCCTCGCCTGTCGATACTCCAATAAAATGCTAAAGAGAAACATGAGAACTATGACTAATGAAGACAAATAGGCGTGCTCAACAGCTATACGAATGGCTGATGATGTAGCGAAAGAATACAGCAGGCTATCCAGAAGATGAGCGATAGACGCAGTCAGACTCGGCGCGTATGAAATTGATGCTAGAATAACAACAGCAGAAACGAAAGTGTTGGGGATGTCTCCGGTTTACGGAGGAGCATCGAGGTCAGGCGCACCGGACACTGACAAAACGTATGAAAGGGTACCCCGAGGAAGGGTGTGTGGGTTTAGGAACCCGACGTAGACTCAAAACACCGCGAGTGTGATGAGAATAGACGGACATTGTGTGGTGTTGCATGATTCGGCCTGACCCTTGGGAGCCCCATTCCAGTAGATACGGTTGGAACGGCAAGCCCTTACAGTCCAAGGGTCGAACAACCACATATGTCTGCTGGTGTCGCAAGTATTTGCTGGCGGAGTGGGCAATCAAGTACACAAGAAGTCCACGCCTAAACTCCTAGCAACGCCTTGCCAGTCCCACACTCGAGCCCACTCGCCGCGCTCCATGCATCGCCAGACTTCCTCGAGCACCTCTGCCACACGGTCTGTGTTACGGAGCCCTGTGTAGCCCCTGACAGTTCGTACCGCGGTACGTACGCGTTCTTGTTGGGCGGGTGAGAAGCACGCCGTCCCAATGACGAGACACGGGATTAGTAGTAAGGTCTGAGTTGGATCACTTGGTTTGAATGAGTCAAGGATAGTCAGTGACTCGTCGACCGCGAGAGTAATTCGCGGATCATGGTTAGGCGGCTGGCGGAATGGTGGTGGAGAGTCCGCGCGTTCTGTTTGGGTGTGCGCGTGGATGGCTATGGAGTGGCGGCGAGGGTTGGTGATGTCAGTATGGGAGATGCTGGGGCGTAAGGATGGTGAAGAGGCACAACTGTTACTGGCTGAGCGGGGAGGCGTATTGGCGGTGTTGGCCATGCTAGAGCCGATACCAACGGACGACCCTGGCAACATGGGTAGGGAGGTCGACGAGTTTGACAGCGATGACTGGTTCGTCGAGGACGAGGGCGGGTAGATAGTGCGGAACAGATACACCCACATCATCTGTTTATATAGCAATCCAACCCGGTCCCGGCTGTCTCCAGGTGGCCACTGTGGCGTCCAGTCGCGGATAGCAGCATCGATCTCGGCGGCGCGGTACAGGCTCGTATAGTCCACTACAGGGTCGACATGGGCAGCCATATTAGCCCGGATGGTGTTGCGCACAGAGGTGATCTGGCATAAATGGTTGAAAAGGCCATCAGCAACACCAAGCAGACGCGGTGGATGAATCGGTACTATTGGAACCCAGTCCTCAGACGCGAGTCGAGCAGTCTGGATGTCGGGGTACCGGATCAGTTCATCAGCAAAAATATGATACTGGAAGAATTCAGATATGAAGGTTAAGAAGGCTGGGTCTTCCGGCGGGGAGTGCTGTATGAGTGTCTGATATGCCTGTAAGTGCACTCGATGCTCTCCCCTAGGGTTGCCCTCAGCCAGGGACTCCAGAAGCAGGCACAGCATTTGGCCATAGCGGGCCGATAGCATCGTCTTATATTCAGGATCGTCACGGTCGGCATGGTCCTGTCGAGCAATGTCGGCGTAGAGTTTCTCCATGGCTTTTTCGTGGTGATAATCCGACCGCTGCTGTAGTGCCTCCAGGCTTGTGCTTGGCGTCCGTTTTAGAATGTTAAGCCCGTATGGCGTCTCGAAATCAATATGCTTGCTAGACAATGCAAGGATGGAGTGCATAAGGCCCTGGTGCTTGGTTGCGAGAGGAATGAGCATGTCTTTGAAGGCGTTCTTATGTTCGCCCTCTACTGTGAGCACAGCGCTGAGATGGTCATTGTAATGCTTCCAGAAGATCATGTCTTCTGTGTTCTCGAGACCATTGAAGATGGGCTGCATGGTGATGACCGGGAGTGGCCCGGAGGTCTTCATGCGCTCTGGCTCGAAGTCAGCGACGCCGACGATAGACGCAGCGATGCAGTCCATACCTTCTTCTGCCTTCTCCTTGCCGCTTTTCCAGATTTGCTTCTCAGGATACCCTTCACAAACGACTGCGTTCTTCTCGCAATTCATGCCTAGTGGGGTTAGAAGGCTTGAGCATATGTGTGTGTTTAGGAATGTTAGTCTCTACTTACATCGTGGTTTTGCCTCATCACACTTCTTCTTCCGCTTACGGCATGTGATGCATCCTGTCTTCGATCGGCCCTTTGTGACTTTGTTCGTGGGAACAATTGGTGTAAGGGGGTGCTTCCTCGGCCGTCCACGAGGTCTTTTAGCCTTGGGCTGTGCCGACGACGGTCCATTGCTACTCGGTACCGGCGTCAATGGAGCTTCCTTGATGTCCTCGAGACGGAAGTCGTCGTCCAATGGCTCATCTTTCAGGGTAGTGAGAACATCATCAGACCCCTGCTCCCAGTGTATATCGTTCATGTCGCTATCACCATTATCGTTAGAACCGCTATCGAGGTCTCCGTAGCCGCCGATACTCCAGGAGTCAGTTACGGACGACGATGCTGAGTGTACCATGGTCGGGGCGGCTGAGGACCCAGAGGCGGATGTGCATCCGCTGCTGTCGGTCGGCGGCCCTGGTGGAATATCCATTCCGGTGCTGATGGGTGACAATTGGCCGGTCAGTGGCAGGCGGGATGTCCCCGCGGACGACGCGGAGATAGAAGCCGACATGGAGACGGCAGAGCCGGTCGACATGGCTTCCATCCACGGAGGCGATTGTGGGAAGGCCATATCCTGGCTGTCATCTGAGGCCATACTGTGACTGTCTGACCAGGGCAAGTCCCCATCGTCCATTACGACGGGATGAGAAGGGTCCATTGCTCGTCAATAACGAGGTCATGCCAGCGGGCTGGTCGCCGTGGGAGAAGAAAAGAGGGAGAACGCAGGCAGGCTCAAGTGGCAACACAAGAGGAGCTGGCAGAGTTCAAATGGGGCTGGCTGGGCTGAGGGATGTGGAGGAGTAGGAGCAGTAGAAGTGACAAGAAGGACGAGTAAGTAGACGAGGCTTGGGGGAGAACAGATCAAGACTTTGGTTGGCTAGTCGATCGAGATATGTCGGGCTCTGGCTATAGGCCTACGATACCGGCCATTGGGTTTCGTGGGTGTGAAGGGGCCATGCAGGGAAATGTGGAGAAGAGGAGTGAGGAGGTGAAGCCCCGGGCTTTGAGGCGCGCTGCTCTCACTCGTTGGTGGCTCGCTCCCTCTGATATATCCCGTATCTTCTCAAACAGGCCGGCGGCAGTGAGACATGAAGTCACTGGCAAAGACGATCGCGAGACACTTGTGGACCGCCGCTCGACGGTGAAGATGTGCTCTGCTCTGAAGTGAGTGAGGTCGATCGCTGGGGGCCGGCGTTCTACTTCTGCGTCTGCGTCTTCGTCTGCGCCGGACTAGGCTGGGACGGATGGAAATGTGAAGAGAGAAGAAGGGATGTAGGGCCCAAGTCGAGGCGAGTCGAGGAGACTTGGGATAGATAGGTGGATGGATGGATGGGTAGATGGATAGATAGATAGGTAATGTAATGAGTGCAATGGAGGGTGGGCGAGCGTGCGCGCCGTGCAGAGTCGGTGCGGTGCGATGCGGTGGAGGAGTGGAGTGGTCCCGTCTTATTAGCCTCTAACTAACTAACTACGAGGAGGTACTTGACGAGAATGAAGCAGGGAAACAAGCAGGAGACGGGATATGCACCATCCCCATTGTCTTGATGCTGTAGCTACACCAGACTAGGCTTGACTAGACTAGACTTGACTCGTCTCCAGTGCGTAGAGTATGTAAGTATACCCTTGTAGATGGGGCCGGCATCGACAGGGGCTTGTGAACAGACGGGGGGAAGACATGACAGGAGTCGCATGGGTTGGGGGACAGGCCCTGGTAGGTACACAAGAGTACAGTACAACTGTAGGGGTGGCAGAAGGGCAGAAGATAGATTCTATACTACGCTGCAGGACCTACCTAGCCACTCCGGAGATTTCCAGGATATCGTGCTATATGTGCTATCATCCAGGGTTGAATTGGCTTCGATTTGCGTGATCAGCAGCTTTGACTGAACATCATTTGCGCCTCAACTATGCAGCCGTTGAACGCCATGGCTACCAAGGCAGGATGAGCGAGCTTTGGCAGCGCATGGACGCCGCATGCCGTAGCATTGGGAGAGGCTAAGGTAATTAGATAATAATGGCATGTCGAATATAACCTGTCTATCTCATTGATGAAACAAGTGTTGGTTATCGACTGCTACAAGCTCCAGGTTGTTAGTCCTATCCAGCCGTCGCCTCCCTTGTTGGCGTTGGTTGTTTAGTTGTCGATTGACTCGCCGGCGGCAGATGTGTGCGGTGTAGATCTCGGGATCCATTGGTAAATGCCGAACCAGGTGCACGCAATTCGTGCCGCCAACGCTGGCTGAGGGATGCTGTTGATCATCACCATGGCGGTGCATCCTCGCGATAATCTTCGCCGTTGAGGGAGGCCAACTAGTCTCGGGATTCTGTTTGGCGGGCCAGCTTGGGGGGCATCCTTCAGGGTCCATCATTCCAGCCAGTACTGAGTTTTGATAGCTTCTACCTTCAATGGCGACAGCAAGCTCAGTGCGAGCCGAGCCAGTCATGATCGGATCCGGCCAAGAAAGCCTGATTCTATCCGGATCGTGAATCTTTACCTCATCATCATCAATCAGCTTCTGCGATATAATCACTGTGGTGGTTGATTGCGAACCAGAGTTGATTGAGTCTCGGCAACACGGCTTCACATGGCCAGGGTCCAGAGCAATCCGCCAGCGGACCACCAGGGCTATCACTGTGGTCTGCGTGGGGGACACTTCAACCGGTTGAAGTGTTGGACTTGTGAATACCTCTTCCTTTGTCCCTATAAAGCAATCGTAAGAGCTGGCTGTCATTTTAATGTGACCATCCCTTCTATCTGTTTGGCTCTGTCTACTCTCTCGGCGTCTTCTAGGAAACGTGCGCAGCCGGACCATTGCGACGCTTAGAAGCAGTGTTATTGCGCCGGTGGCTGCTCTGGTCTTGTTGCGCAATGCATGGCACAGAGCCACCACCAATTCGTATTACAGTACGATACGATCTGAGTGGGATGCTGAGAAAGTGGCCCAGGACTAGGAATAGCAATGGACGACTGAGAATCGAGCATTTGGTCGAAGGCTTGAGGAAGAGGGTGTAGAGCGCTGGCGGCAGAGTGGTGGCCACCCCTCAGGCTTGGCGCATTTGTTTTTTTCCTCCCTGTTTTTCCTCCCCAGATCGCTCTTCACTTTGCTACAACTGCACTGCACGACGAAATACACACTGGCTGGCTTCAGACCAGTCCAGCCCGTGGGATCCATCTAGCCAAACAGGTAAATCCATCCATCCATGCATCTGACTGACAACTTATACATGCTGCACCGTCTGTGTACTTCGACCAGAGCCCGATACTTCGAGGAAGTACTCAACAGGGCGGCTTGGACCGAAACCCACCAGTTTGTCCCTGGCTTTCCGAGCGAGACCCTCCATGCTTATGTCCGGTGCTTCTGTGGCGACCTTTACCCTTCACCTCTCGTCCTCCAGTCCGCGGCGAGCCAACAACACGACTACAGTCCATTGAAACCAACTAACGGCCGCCGTCTTCGAATCTCAACCAGGCCAAGCACATGCTTGTCTTGTCCTTCATGGCAGCCATATCCTAGTCCTCATCCCGCCTCCTGGCGACGCCCTGACATCAGCATCTCCAGCACTGTGGCTTCCCGCCACCACCTTGCCTACGGGTGACTGAGCTAATTGGAGAAAGGATCAAGCAGCACATTCATCCGGACACACAGATGAAGAAGGAGATAGATCTTGCAGCAGCTAATGTTCTGAACCGACGGAAACAGCCTACATGCACCTAGGCATCCCACTCCACTTGCTATACCCTTCCATGCCTCTACGGTGCCAATCTCGTCGAGTACTGGACAGTACATGCACCTAGAACTGCATGTATCTAAAGGTCTCTACTGGACCCCGCCAGCCCTCATGCGTTACCTTCCCCACCATACTGTCTTTTGTCTAGTCTTGGATGCTCAGCTGTCCTTCATCAAGGGCCAGGGCGTTCTGCATGGCCGTCATATGGACCGTGCGCAGAATGGAAGAAGGCGCGCTCGAGGTGCTTTCAGAGCATGGATTATCATTATTATGCTCTGTATCTCGTAACCGTGTTGGAGCTACCTGGACAGCCCAGAGATAGCGGGGTGGTTCATACTGACCCTTCCCCAGACGATACGGGAGGCACAGGGGTGGTGATGGACCAACAGCAAGCGAGCAATGGACCGCAGCTCTTCATCTGGCGGGGATCTGTCAAAACGGCCCTGCGTCAACGGAGATGGACACTGAGTACGGCTTGACCCCGAAGCCTGGTAGTAATGACTGCTATGATAGCCAGGTTTCGAGTGACGACGATGATATTCCTGGTTTTTTGGTTGTTTTTTTTTGGTTGTAGTCTCGCCATCGTAATTTGTCTCCCAATCAACACACAGTAGTTTCGTGCCCGAGCGACCACATGCAATCGGCTACTGTCGTTTGGTTTACCCTTGAGTAGATGCGCTGCCAGCAATATGATATGACTCAAGAGTGTCCGACTTACATGAATCCCCATTCTCATGCACGCTGTATCATGATATCATGGTGGATGCTACGAGATCCGTGGGAGAGGGCCGCCGAAGACGCCTTGCATATACATGCGGGAGAGCATGTTTGATTGAGTTGGTCAACCGTCGACGTGGTGCATTCGATATGGCCGGAGGCAAAGGAGCAGTGCCCCGGGCTTTGTTGAACCAGCTTATCCCAGGTTGCAGGCCGCTTCGACTTCTCCTTGCCTCTTCACCTTGCACGTCTTGGGGATGGACCATGTCGATAGGATATGCGCCTCGAGTCCCGAAACAGAGCTTCTGTTTCTATACATACCTACACACATGCATCTGGCCTGCAACCCATTGACATGTTGTGCAACCACCTTCCGTCCTTCGAAACGAGCGTTCCTCTGGGAGAGGCTCGAAATGCATCGGCTTGCGGTTCTTGGGCAGTAACACATGGCAACACCATGATTGGCGACTCACGATGCAGCCTCATTTCAACCTGAACGGCCCGGAAGCATGGCCAACAACGACACCTCAAGCATGCCACCGCTGCGATTGATTCTACTCCTTATCTTCACCTAGAGGCAACATGGCGACACGTACGCCGACTGACCTAGCACTACCACTTTCATGTGCATGTAGACCAGACACTTGGCCGCCAATTGCACGGTCAAAGAGACTTGCCGGCGTGCATCAGTCAAGAAACATGAGGGGTAGGTAAGGTAGATTGTCTACATTATCGCCCGATCGTGCCTCCTCCCGAGCTAAAGGTATGCGACGTGGGGTGGACCACAAACGCCTGCAGGCAATGAGATTATCA